GAAGGCACCATCTCCAATGGAAGCCACGGAGTCTGGGAGGTCCAATTGCCTCAACGAGCTGCAACAGCTGAATGCACTGGATCCAATTTCAGTCACGGAGTTTGGAATCGTCAAAATGGTCAAGGAGCCACATTCCGCAAAGGCTGAATCACGGATGCGAGTCGCGCGAGGGGGAATTCTTACCACGAACAAGTGTTGAAGTGGGCGATCGAACTGCTCCTTTTTGGAGCATACGACTGGATGGACGTTAAGGACCACCTGCAGCTCAGTACCATCAGAAATGCCAGCCTTGTTCAGCCTTTTTGAATTATCTGTTAAGCTCCTGCCCTGGAGAACAAGCTCCAACTTGGAAAGCCGGAGTAGGAGTTCGTCTTCGCAAGGCTGTAAGCGTTTCAGTTGCCTCTTGAGATCACCAATGGTCAGATCTTCCATCACCTCCACCTCTTCGACAGACCCACTCATCTGACGGACCAAAATCTTCATGGCCACGGGATTATATAGCCACTCTTTAGCGAAACAAATGGATACTGCATGATACTACCAAATTGGGCCAAACCTTCAACTTTGGATTGCTCAATTCACAAGGTATGCATACCGTACACATCCGTGCAGCCCTTTTGTCGACCGTAGACAGAAAGAAGAAAGCCCTGTCATGCATGCGCAGCTCACATGCCACGCAAAATGAAGGCAGCCTCAATCATGGAAACACCGCCAACCGACTACAGAAATGTACATAGGGTACAATATAATGCAGGGGAGTCTGAACCAAAGCCAAGGTTCAATGTGCTAAATTCATCAATATAAATTCTTCAAATATTCCCCACTACTTTTCCCACTGTATGCTTCCTTCGTGCCTTGTGTGCACTGAGAAATCCTTGTACTGTCGCCCCGAGAAGTGTCCTTCAAACGATTCAAACAGGTCAATCGGAAGGTCAGTCCAAAGCTGCTCGCTTTGTTCACGGTCAAAGACGGGAAGACCAACCACGACCCGTTGGCACGAAACTGGACAAAGCAAACAAGCAAACGCAAGCGCAAGCAACCCCAATGGCTCCAACCACTCATCCACTCAACCACCCAAGAAAAAGGAAACAAGCCCGGCCTCCTAGCCTCCCAGCTCTTCGCCGCTCTTAAGCTCTCTGCTTCGTCCAAGGCACGCTTTTGGGCACGCGCCTCCAGGCCGCCTTCTCATCGGCGCGCAGCGCCGCGCGCCACTCGGGCTTGAGAAGGCTCGTCCAGTCCGGCAGCCTGAGAAAACGGTTTGGGCGGGTCGGACGGTTGTTTCGCGCTTCGAAACCGGCGAGGCCGCGCGGAAGGAACCCCCGAAGATCGGAAGCTGAGACATGCTGCAGCCTTGATGAGTCCTGGGAAGGAAGTCTTTGATTTCTGGTCTTTGTATCATGTCAGAAGAGTACAACAAAATACTGGACAGGGATCCCGATACTGGTTCGGCCGACAGTAGGTATGAAGACTTGGCAAATGCTCTTGGCGGAAGAAAGCAAAATTGATCAAAATTGTATACCCGACACAACGAATAATATGAATGTTCCTGGCCTATACAATTCTTGGGAACACTAACCACTTTGCCAATTGTCAAAAAAATGTGGTAATTTGTTTGTATCAGCTCAGCTCAACAGAAGGAATTATGATTTATTCATTGGCATTCTGAACACAGGCACTGGTGGGGTACAACCCAAGGCATGGTTGTGTTTTCGACCGAATCTGGTGACTAATGTGGGCTTGGAGCTTCGGGACAACATTCTTTCCTTCATACGACTACCTCGACCATCCTGTCTGGGTGTCCCGGCTGAAGATCCCAAGTAGTGTGGGGTAGTTCTTTGCACACCCATTGGGTGGTTCTTATATGTTCTTATAATTGCTGATCTAATATCTGTAGCGATCATTTCTTCCTACACATTTCGACAACAGCACTGACTCAGAGAACCCCTTCTCAGAATCAAACTGTTTAGATCCTTCTCAGAATCAAACTGTTTAGATGTCATGAGTGTTCTTTACCACTCTGCGTTGCAGTGCTTGTGTAGCATGTCATGCTTAGCATGCCACACTTAGAATGTCATGCTGCGCATGCTGCGCACATGGAACGCAGCACCCGCATGGGTGGCCTCTGTGCGCTTTGGATCTCAGTGGCTGCAGGTGTGGCCAGCGCCACTTGGGCACAAAGCACCAGCGCGGCTAAGGCACCCAAAAGGGGCCAAGGCGCAGAGGGCCAAGGCGCGGACGACCTTCGCCAGGGCGGCGAAGCATAGGAGATTCGTCGGGAGTCGGGCAGTTTCGAGCAGTTGTGGGGGGTGCTTTCATTTCAAGATAAGAAGAGAAAGGATTGTCGTGGATTGTCAATCTACTAGCGTCGGGTTTAGTCACCCGGGTTTGCAGAAAGTCACCCGGCCGCATGTAAACGCGGCATCAGTCAAAAGTCACCCGGCGTGCGAAAAGTCACCCGTTTTATGTTAAAACACCATGTAAACGCTCTACGGAAGTATGTTTGTCAAAACTGCTATACATCAAGGATTCATTGCCCCTGTGCACAAAAGAACTAGATGTATGTCGAAGTTTGCAGCGTTTTGGTGACCTTCCCTCTAACCTACCACGTCGAAGGTATCCACCTACCTACCCACGTCGATTATCTTCAAATCACTTTTTGGTCACCTTCCCTCTAACCTGCATGGAAACGAAGCATCCAAACAATGGTGTTGAACTGATATTCCAAAGCTTGTCTTCCAATCGTATTGACATCTTGCACCTAAACCGCATGTAAACGCAGCATCCAAACAATGCTGTTGACCTGACACTCTTCCAGCTATATTGCCATCTTGCATCTAACCCCATTGTAAACGCAGCAACCAGACGACTTTCCACAAGACCAAACGACTTAACACAGGTAATATGTCAATCTATAAATACAGCAATATTTAGATATATTTATAGTAAATGTTAGTAAGAGTAAGCGATAGTAAGAGCGGGATCTTCATCCGTGGTAGTCGTCCAACAGGGGACTTTGAACAAGGCTTCGGTGGGTCGGTGAAGCATCCCATCTTGCAGGGTTTCACATGGGTTTCAGACATCTTCGGCCATGATTCACATGATCCAATCTTTTTGCCCACGCACCTGGACCTGGACTCCTCGTCCGTTTTGAGCACTTCGCTAAGCTCCCGCTGTATCGGTTGTGCTCGCTCCACTTTGAACCGAGGTGGAGAGGACAGCTCCACAAAGAGCACAGAACGCGCCAGGAGAATTGCCAGAAGGATCGAACCAAAGGAACTCCGCAACCGCGGCATGGTGCCATGGGGGAAAATGAGGTTCCGGCCAAGCTTGAACCAAGCTGACACAAATGGCCATAACATGTCGACACTGGAAAGCGGATCATGTCTTGCTGACTGAGTCAGAGGTGGTGATAGGTGCAGGATGGTGCAGGTGTCTTTGCAAGAAAAGACATCCTGTCTTGGTGGAACAGTGATTAGATGTGATTAGCACTATGTGGTGTCAGGAGAATCTGACAAAAACACTGGACTTATCTTCATTTGTATTCACAGTGACGTGCTCATGATCGGACCCTTGCCACAGTGGAAATCCCGGGTCTGACCACTGGCCTGAAATGCAGTGATGACCTGCTCAGGTCACAAATCTATGTGACACAAACCTACTCCAAGCCATCCGTGACGTGATCGTCAACACACTCCCGCTGAACAAAAATCAACGCCTGCGGCCGCCTGCGATATTTGAGAGATGTTTGTAGGTCCAAAACCTACCATGGTGGCATTCCTTCGCGCCCAATGGTGGACCAGGGCAGACACCTCTGCATGCCTTCCCTCAGCTGAGTCCCTTCCACCCAACGAAAACCCCAAAGCAACAAGAACAACACCGAGACGTCTCCGCCTTTGTGCAACGTCACCGCTTCGGCGATCTCCGCCTCGCTGACGTCCCGCCTCGCGGAGCGGGCGACGATGGAGTCGGAGTTTCTGGGTTGGCTCAGGTCGTGTGGTTGGCTCAGATTCAATCCGCTTCTTTATCTTCTTTGATAAAAAGTGTCAAGAACATGTCATGGATCGCCGAACTCTGAGTGAGTAAACCCCATGTTCTACCTGCACATCCAAATGTACAAAGTTCGGTCCCCCGCCGTGGCGGCTTTCAATCACTCAACATTGATGATCGACCGGTTCCGATGACTGCCCTGCGAATGCGAGGGAGACCCCGTGGCGGCACTCGGAAGAGATTCGGAACTCAGTTGGCAAACAATTTGGAGCACAGGAATGGAGTGTTCAGAGAGTGCCACAGGAATCCTAAACAGGTAGGTGCACCTGCACAGAAGGTACAGTTATGCGTTAGATGCAGTACGTCGTTCTGTTTCAACCCTCTGGGTGAAGGAAACACAGCCGAGACAAATGCAGAGTCAAACTGTAAACAGCCAAGTTGAAAGGTGCAAGGCCCAAAAGAGAAGAACCCCCCCATGGTCTTTTGGGCACTCGTCTGTGCCTGGCTGATGCATCTCAGACCACCTCCCGCAAGACACTCAGATCCACAATCCACCCACCAAATGTACCAGGACCCCCTAGGGGTGGTTCATAGACACTCCGAAGAAAAAAACACTCTAAGACTCAAAGAAGCTCAATATAGGGGCGATTCACAAACATCCAATATGAATCGGGTCCCGTAATTGCACACATCCAAACACCACCAACTATAAGACATACCAAGACGTATACCTTGCGGTTGGGTCTTCCAGTCCCAGGAACGGAATGGACTCCACACGTCCGCATCGCTTCGGTGCGCGGAACGCCCGGTTTACGCCCCCTTGGCTATTTTTTCCGCAGCGAGCGCATGGCATGTCTGGGGTCTTTCGGACTTTCCAGAGGTCTGAAGAAGGAAGATCCCACTTCTGGGTGTGGCAACCTCTCACCTCACGGTAGCGGGTTGGAGCGACCCGGTAGCGCAGCTGATGAAACATCGAGTTCTAATCACGGGCCAGCTTGCAGAGGTCCCCACATGTTTCACAAGACTTGGCAATAATGACGTTGATGATGTGGGACAGAATGATTTTAGTGTTTGGTTCTATTGATGGCTATGCAACAGGGAACATAAGGGAACCAGAAACTCCACACTGGTTCCCTCACTCACATGCCTCACTGTCTTCTTATGGCTGAACTCCCTTGGAAACTGCCCCGTCTCACGCAGGGGAGAAGGCTCACCGGATGCGATCCTTCCGCCTGCGCCGAAAGAAACAGCGACCGTGACCAGAAGAGACCCCCTACACCCCTGGTTCGGCCAGGTCGAGCAACAGTGACATGGAAGGTCAGTGAGTGCAAGTTCTGCCAGCATCTCAGGTGCCGTGATTCATCATCAGTCATTCTTCCGCATGCATCGGTTCTACAGGGCTTCCGTTTCGACCAATCAACATCGTACGGCGTCAAACAACAGAAACTGCCTCTGCCAACCATCGAGGGTTCGCCTGGGCACACAGAAAGGTGGCGAGACGGTGGACAGCTCAGACATTTTGTGTAATTACAACTATATATATATAGGAAGTCTGACACGAGGTGCATGAGAGGTGATCTGAGAGGTGAGTTGTGTGTTGCGTGAAAGTGTGCAATTACTCCAAAATGTGAGCATCCGGGCGTATGAGTATGAGTCGTGTCGTATGAGTCGTATCTATATTCAGAAATGAAATTGGAGTGGTGTCTCCACAGGGGACCCGCCAAAAATGATAGAGTAATCCGAAAGTACAAGATGCAACATGATGTTGATTCTCAGTAGACCAAACAACCACTTGGTTGGGGGAGAGACCACTCTATATCAGGAGTGACAACCCAAAACAGCAATACGCAAACCTCGCAAGAACAAAGCAAAAAACAATGTACAATGTAGGGGCATTTGCCAAAAATGCACAAACTCATGTTGACCATGAGAATACGTTGCTACTCACTTGAGTGACATATTCCATCTACACACTTGGCTACGTCCAACCCACCAAGCTCCACCAAACCCCTCCAGCGCTCAAAAGCGCCCCACCAACAGCGAGAAAAAACAGAGACACACTGACCCGTGTTTCGAACTGACTGAGGCCACGGGCTCCTCCACGCTGACCACGTCGCCGCGTCCAGGGATCCGCTTTTCCTTCTTTTCCTGCAGGAACACCAACGAGTCGGGCGACATGCCACGCCCAACGAGTCGAGGCCCTGCAAGGGCCACAAGGGCAGAAGTGCCCTCTACACAGCACGGCCGCCCAACGTTTCCACGGCCGCCCACTGCCCCTCTCACATCTCCCTCAGCTCCTTTGTGGCTCCTTCGAGAGCAGCCTGTGCATGCTGCATGTTGGCACAGTTGGCTGGGGTCTCTTTAGCTTACCCCCCACTGGGGAATGGCGAACAGGAGCCTGTCACCCGGGAAAGTTGCTGGCTTCTGGGAGGTCGACAGCACCAATGATCTTGGTTGGAATGGTGGAAGGAACAGATGCAACGGCAAAGCAGGCAGGCTCCAAAGCTGGTGTGTGGGGATGTGAGTGTATAGAGTTTGAACTGCCAATGACCATCCGGAACTGCTTGAGGCTTAGGAATCCAACCGCTGCGAGGAACAGCTCTAGCTGAATCTTGGATATTAAGTCTGAACAATAATGTAATCCACTAAAATTCGCTGCCCATGTGGCAGAGGCCTCTGACGAAACCAGGTGGCTGAGTGGCAAAGACAAGTCGAGACATGATACAGCATGATCCACTTAGTTCGGCCAAAAACATGCATCCAACCTAGAAACGAGGTTCGCAGAATCATGAAACTGAGTTGCCAAACAACGAAGCAATGCCTCTCGTGCGAAAAGGTAATCTGGGCCATGAGTAAGACTGGACCGTAATCTCCTTCACTCTGCTTTGTGAATGAAGATGTCGAAGCAACTTGCAACAAGCAACCCAACACAGGGACCAACAAAAAGAAGCCAAACAACACAAACGAAGCATTCAATAATGTTAATTAAGCAAAAACAAATAAAATGAAATGCACCAGTACCCACGCATAAGACTGAATCGACACTCCTTCACCATGCGGTCATGCGGGATGGAGCATGAAAAAAACACATCGGAAAGCCCTCCCTTTCTTGCAGGTGCCTGATTCCCCGTCCCCAGATCGGCGGACTCCGCCCCAAAACCCACCTCCGCGACGCGGCGCCTTGGCAGCGGGGTCGTCGCCGTGGGTCACCTTGAGCTCCCCACTGACGCCCGGGCCGTAGTTCATTTCCGGGTGCTGCAACTGGCCGGTCGAAGACTTGACGTAATTAGCTCCGCTTCTTCTGGACAGGGGAAGTGAGTGGGAGGGATGACCAGTGGAAGGGGGTCTACCAAATCGGATTCGCCAGGTGTGTATCAAAACTGGGAGACCTTCCAGAGGTAAAATAGACCAAACACATCCCAAAAACCATTGGGTCTGGGTCTTCCCATTGAACGTACACCCCAACGCTGGTCAGCGAAACAAGCGCTGGCGCGCGCCCGTGCGACCGGTCGCGGCGCGCTGTTTCCGCTTCCGCTGTTTCGGTTTGGGACCAGCGGGTCCCGTCGATCCGCTCTGAGGCACCCAGACCACCTTTCCCTGTCCACCTCCATGTCCTCCTGTGACACGTCACCACGAACGAGCCATGCCACGAACGGGGAAGGGTGTGTCGTAGGGATGGGGTCGGCGGACATCGCCTTCGGTTTTGCCGGTGAGGGGCAGACTTGGAGGCAATTGAAATTATGAGCAATGAGGAAAGCCTTGTCAAGTTCCTGAGCAAAGCTTTCTGTAAGTGGAGTTGTACTTCTGTACTTTACACAAAACACCTGATCACCCAATGCCACTCTCCTTCCTCTCCTTCCCGATCTTCGACACGCTGAACGCTAGAATTCGGGCTTTGCCCCTCCAACATCTTCTGCTACATGTGCAAACCCAACAGGCGGTGTTGCATCGCAAAAAAGAACGTTCTCCAATCCAGCCCTCCTGGACGTCATGAATCTGAGCCATTCAGAATGCTTCAGCAGTTCCATGGAACAGCGAACTTGGATGAACTTGGAGGTTCCATGCTCGGATCAGATCCCCGGAAAATGGCCTCCACGAGCCGGTCTCCCCCCAAGCGTGGGCTCCGATGGAAGGAACTCGCTGTCACCCCCACTGCAGTTGGTCACCCCCGCTGCAGTTGGTCCTCTTTCGTCCGACCCCAAACACGCGCAGTTCGTCCTGACAAGATGAATGGAGTGCTTCCGGAGATGCCTTGGATGCTCGAAGATGATCGTGGGGCCGCTTGGGGTAAGCGTGGCCCAAAAAATGCTGGCCATCGGCCCAAACATCGAAACATCCATGTGGATCGGTGAGATGTGCTGGAACAGCTGCTTTCAGGAGGGGAAGGCCAAGGAAATGAACACAAATCAAGAAGTGCTGCACGACTCCACCTGTTCCGTTACAGTATGTTTCTTTGAGATTGGCCCACAGATGGATTTCCTCCCATTCAACTTGGTATACCTTGACTGGCTAAGTCTATGGCTAATCGTGAAGCACCAAGAAAACTTCCATCAAATAAGTGAAGAACAAGCGGATCAGAGCTATGAAAATCGACTGTCGAAGCTTCATAAGCCCAACCGACTCCACCATGAGACCTCCGCAACAAGCCCATGCCCACATTCTGAGGCATCCAGCCAGGGCCATAATTCCTCGGGCGAGCGGCCATATCCAGGTCACTGCATGGATGCTTGACCAAAGGGAGCTACATGGCGGTACGTCATGTGAACATATGATATGCAATAAATGTCTAAATGGGTGCTGGCAACCACCAGCGTGCACCCACCACTGAAGAGTAGCGACATGTGGAAATGCTTCAGAAAACCTGAAGCACTTGCGGAGACCTGAGGACCGAATGTAGGACCATTCACCGGTGCACCTAATGCAGACTGGTGAAGAAAATCCCCAGTTGGATTGTAGAATATTCTTCATATGGGGGGGTTATTCTAATCGACTCAGTCTAGAGTCTACATGACCTTTACTTCCTTTCGGGCTTGGGGAACTCCCGCAAAAGCTCCGAGTTCGGCTCCCGGCCACGGACCGCACCGCACCGCACTCGTCTGTCGGGTCCCCTTCGTCCCGTTCCTCGGGGCGCCGGGCAGCTCAGGATGGGTCACGAATTTCGCAGGGCCGCCCCTGGGGCGGGCGTTTCGCCCGAGGACAGGACACGGTCCGTCCACCGAGGACAGCGATAGGCACGGAGGCACGTGTCTTTTTCGTTCTCTCACGTTTCGTGTGGTTGGAATGGGCACGGAACCTTGAGTTTGGGTACCTTGCGCAAGAGTTGAGAAGTGGTTCCGTCCTGTACACTGTCATTGTTTTGGTGGTTCAAAAATCTTTGGTGTGGTCTTTTGCAATCGTTTGCTATGTCCTGAAAACTGATGTGTTCTTGTGCCTCGTCCTAGGAAAGGCTTCATTTCTTGTGACCTGAAGTAAGTAGTCTGACTGAGACATAGCTCCCCTTGAAATCGCTAATGTAGACTGTTGATGACTAAAACCCCCTGAATGGTGTGCATCTTCATATAGTGCATGGTGTTTAGTAAAAACAGGCAACATGAGTCCTTTTTCTCCAACTCACCTCTTTCTCCTGTTCTGCAGCTTTGGTGATTGCACTGCTGCTGGTGCATGTCCCCATTTGACCAGAAAAACGGCACGAAGCTGTGCCCAAGACCAGAGCTTCTGAGCTTCTGTCCCGCCTCATGTGAAACTCCATCCCGCCTGCACAGCGGAAGAACGTCAGTGACATGGAGTCCTCATATGGCTTACCTGGAGTCCTCATAAGAGGTTCAGTTCGCATTGCTTCGTTGCTCGATCTACTTAACACACTGACTTAGTTCTACTTATAACTTATATAACTACATACTGACAACCCAAAAGATCTTTCTCCCTTCCTATCGATCCCCCTCATGAATCCCCAAAATGCCTGCCTGAAACACCACCGCTCCGCAGCACACGCGACGGAAGCGGAGTGGATGACGGCCGGGAAAAGCCAAAAGCTGCAGACCACAGCCTATGGTTTTGAAGATGCCAGGCGGGTGTCTTTCTGCCCACAGGGGTCGCAACGTGGAAGCAACAGGGGGTTGAAATGTCTGACCAATGGATACCAATGGCGATCGATCGCCCGATGGCCCCCTCCATGTCGCAAACCGAACTCAGCAGTTCGCAAACCTGTGCGAAGCGCTGCGCTTCCACTGAGATCCGGTGCATTGCGTCGGTGAGAAGCATGAAGCTAAAGGTGCTATTGTCCTCCAAATCAATCACCTGGCCCGCACGGTGCTAGGCTTCGCATGCTTTCTCTTGACCCGGCAGCCATCAAAACCGTCCCAAACCCACAAGCTCATACTAGTTCTGGGTGCTGGCTCTGGATGTTTGGGTCTAAGTCTAGGTGTTCAATCTGGAGAGCGCAAGGGTGCAACGGGTTGCTTGCGGACAACAAAAGGAAGATCAAACCTGCCAAGCTCGGCAGGTGTGATCAAACACCGAAGCATTCGAACATCACATGCCTTTGCAGACCTTTTTGCTACACACCAAAACCAAAAGAAAATGATTTAAAGCGAATCCGTCAATACAATATTATTGAATATATTTTATTCATTTAGAGTCTCTCACTCGAAAGAGCAAACACAGCAACTCACAGCAGCTCACCTGTCCTTTCCCCCGGAAAATCATCCGCCTCGCTGACGATTTCCAGGCCCACCAGCTTCCGCGGCCTGGCCGGTGACACGTCCGGGTCCCCCTCACCGGTGGATCCTGGGGAGGGTCGGGTGCACCGAGGAGGACCGGCGTCGTCGGATCCCAAAGGGTCGGTTGGATCAACGAATTGGTCACCTGGCAGGTGATCGAGACTGACTGTTGACTAGACCCGAAATGGACTCCGAGCGGCCCATCTCCTCAGGTGGTTAGACCTCCCTGGCACACACCCACCCACCCACCCCTGGTCCACCGAACCTGGGGATGTGCGCCAGGAGCCCTGGGGATATATGATATATGGTCCCCTGAGGGCGAGAGTTGCTGAGATGTGAATGACCATGTTGGGGGTGTTTCTTCATCATCTAGACATGTGCCCGACGATGCTTGTCATGCCTCTGTGTCTCTGTAGCACCTGTTGGGAGAAAAAGACACGCTCCATCCAGTCTCACACTGCCCTGCTGCTTCTTGCAGGTCTTGACTCCAACCACTGCCCATCACCCTGCCATTGCAATCCCACTCGCGCATTCACTCCGTTACCGGCACCGCACCTCTTGAGATCCCGCAATCCCATGGCGCGTGCCTCACAACGGCGGTCCCCGGATCTTCCAGAGCGGTCGCCGCCGCTACGAACGCTTCTTAGCTACGAACGCTTCCGCCAAGCACGTTCGCCCACCGGTCATTTGACCAACCACAACCACTCCGCATCTCACCATCTCCATCCCATACGGCCCCCCGACAGCGGCGACGCCCCGATGCTCTGGAGGCGGTGCCCAAAGCCTGGGAAAATGGGGGGACGGGAGGACAAGGACAAAGAAAGCGCGTTTACATAGATGGGATGTGTGTTGAAATAGGGAGACCTCCCGATGGATTCTTGTAAGTGGTGTGTATGTGTGTATATGTATAATATATGTATCAATGTATGATCTTCTTAGATCTTCTTAGTGGTCCTTGGGGGTCTCCCTATATACATACCGTACCCCTAGAGCCTGAGTGACCTCTGTTTTGCACCACCAACCACCCAAAATATGATCCGTTCCAATCAAAATAAAGATCAAATTGGCTCTATAGGTATATTGTATAAATTGATTATTGTGTATACCTTGATGGTGGCCGTCCATGCCCTTGGGTCCCGCTTTGGGGACGGAAACGCCAGACCTCACGGTTTCCAGAGTCGCCTCGTCTTGAAAGGACTGAGAAGAACATGGTCAACGTAGATGTTGAATTTTGGTGTTTGGAGATGTAGATGAAAAGTAGACTGGGATGAACTGGAGTTGAGGTACCTAAGGTACACCTCATACACCGTATTGTCTAAACAAATGCTTGGACACCAGCGGGTTCCATGTTTGTTTGTGGAGAAGGGATTGGGGTTCCGTCAGGAAGTTGCACTGCTGGTTCCGTCTTGATCCTCCATCTGGCTCCCCGGCTGCGCCACCGGCCGTGCCGCGGAATCCACCACCTGCCGGCCACCGGGTCTGCAGCGGGGCCGTCAGTGCCCGGAGTCTGAGATGGGAGTTCTTCGATTCAAGTCGAATGGGATGTAGAAGTAAGTCCAGCCTGTCTACAAATGTATGCACATGACTAGCACCCTCCAACATACTGTGACACCTGTAGAAGACCTGCTGGAGGCGCTGCTGGGTGTCATTTGATACAAGAACGGTCATGTGTTTCGGTCGTCCACATTCTTGAGGATGATATTGGGATGTTGTATGGTGCAGGGTGCAGAAGTGGAGAACAAGTTGATCTTGTATGTGTGAGAGAGGGTAGACCCATCCACAACCTGCTTCACGTCTTTGGTTGAGGTGCCTACATCTCGCTACCAACTACTATCAGACCACTTCTTTTCGAGACAAAACTAATGATCAATCAGCTCAAGGGTAGATCTCCATGTCAAAAGCCGCAGATCACATGATCGCAAGGCAACTTCCGGAGCAAAAAGCCAAGCATCAGTCGATGTTTTCCTCAATTTCCTCACAAATTCTGAGACCTTTAAAGTGACCTCTATATCCTCCTATGCACCTCTCCAAGCAAACATGCGCCTCACTTCAATTCTGCTTCTTGGTTTCCCACCCGTTGCTGATGTTTTTTATCCGGCCACCTGCCGGCCGCCTGCCCGCCCCGCTGCCCGCACCGCAGCCACCCACGGATCCGCTGCAGGGAGCCTCCTGCATGATGCTCAAGGCCCGATCAGCACCCTCTTGCGAGGCGCTGGCCAGGTTGCTCAGCACCGCCTGGCGGAGGTGGTGCCGGACTCCAGAAAGAATGGCATTGGAGGTTTGACAAAGAAGATCTTCTACTGGAAACCATGGTGGTCGCCATCTACCATTCAATTGGTTCTATAGGGCCAGAAAGCTATGAGTCCTGTAGATTTTCCCTTAAACCAATCCTGATGGTGGGAATCACATTGCAGTGTGGGAACCCCAACCGAACTGGTGGTTTTTCAGCCTCATTTCTGACGCAGAAATGTGGGAGACCATTCTATTCCGGGATGCTTTTGACGGGATCAGGAGGCCTTTGCGAAACGATACCTTTCGGTAGCGCCCAATGGACCGGTGATGTCCGTCCTCCCAAGGGACGACGACCGCTGGCCCGGGGCCACTGCCGAGCGCGTTTTCGGGGGATCCAGGGGAATGGTCATGTACAACGTTCCGCATGAATCATACAACGTGAAATGTTGAAACATCTTGAAACAGTTGATGGGTGGCTTCGGATCTTGGTCCACCCTGCTAAAGGACTGTTCAGCGCTCAAGCCATGCCCGGCAGCACCCTGTAGCGCATGTCCACCTGCGCATGGGCCGCTGCCTTAGCCATCTCAAAGTCCGCAAAAGTATGCGTTCCTTCACACCCCTCGGCATCAAAGGCTTTCAAAGGGGGCTCTGCACGCTTCTATGAATCGACTTCTAAGGCAACCTATCAACTCTGCTCCTGGCGCTGCACCGCTCCCTCTGCTGAGGCCAAGGACCTCCCCACAGCCAGGCTCAACCTTAGATTGATCCCTGGAACTGGGACCACTTGGGGAGGGCTCCAAAATCTTGGAACCAACAAATGATTTGGTGTCAAACCAATTGCAGTATTGGCTTATGGTGTCATTTCTTTCAACATCTTCTGACTCTTGGTTTCATTCTGTTCGCTTCTTGGCTTCACATGCCAACTTTGAGTCATCCACACGTCTATGCTGCGCCAGTTTCCAAACGATTGGCGCGAGCTGAAGGACGTACACGATGATGAGCGTGTAACAACTCCTACTTGACTTTGATCAAAAAGAATATAAAGAGCCAAATCGAAGACCCAAGTTGACGTGGCCAAGGATCTCCAGCCTCATCAAACAATTATAACATATATAGTATATATATAAAGTACAATGTGTTTTGTATAATTTTGAAATATTACTTAATAATTTATAGTTTAATAATAATCTAACCTAATCTCATCCAACAGACTCAGTGCCCGGCACCCAAAATGGATGCTGCACGCTTCTGTGACCTCACAAAGGGGGTCGTTCGAGTGTGTCATGCCTTTCAACGCGTCAAGACATCTGGACTGACATGTGGCAACACCCAAAACACGTTGTTTGGGTCATCCTTGGTGTTACCAATGTCTTCCATGACCGTCCTCGTGCTTTTCAGTGTCTACAGCCTACAGGTCTGGGCCCTCCTTCTTGGTGCTGTTGATTGATGAAATCCTATATACAACCAAAATATGTCATATCATGCCAGGGCCATATCCCACTGATCAGTGACGAAGATGATGAAGGAGCGGCTAGTGCTAGCGGCTGGTCTCCGACAAAAAGGCCCAAACAAATGGAAAGCCTTCAGTTCCATCTTCCCCTAGTAATCGGAGTCTATGTGTCGATCTCATTGCTTCACTGACTAATTATCCACCAATTTCAATTTCACCATATCTCCCATCGATGGCTCTTCCCCCCAAAACCGAGGCTTTCACAGGATGCCACCCTCGTCATCCATGACCTTCGCCAGCGTCGTCGACGCACGACGAACGACACGACTACGCCTACGTGGCTTGGGTGATCAACCCAAACACTCCCAGGTGTGGCATGTTTACATGCATTGGGGTGGTGGAAACGAGGTCAATGGGCTGGCAATACATTCCAGTCCCAGATAGAGTGTTGATGAATTCTTCTTCTCACAAAGCCATGCTCCGGGACCTGAGATCCGAAACGGAGCAGTACACGAAGGGCGGCCCCCCGGAACAACCGGACTGTTGATGAATTAAAAAAACAAAAAGGGAGATGTATATAGATCAGTCAGCACTAGTGGAGGTGCTTCTCAATCAACATTTAATACTATATAACAATATATTATATAGTCGACCCTGGGAGTAATCGGAGTAAACCATACAATTGCCGGCCTTTTGAGCCTCTTTTAAGCGCGTGGATCTCTTCATCCCTGTTTGATGCTGGTCGTCTTGTCCCCCCAACCAGGTGGAATCTTTGCTTTTGCACTCGAGAAACGTGGAACCCATTAAACAATCTCCAACCTGCAGGAGGTGTCATCCTACGAGGAGCCAGCATCACAAACGCACGCAACAAATGGATCAGAAGGCAAAACTAACTGCTCAATCTATCGGCACTTGTTCTCAACCACTGAAGAAAACTAGCCGCTTGTGAGAAGATCCAGGGTTTTTTTAAAGGTTCATTCCCAATTTGACCTCGCAATACTGGCGCAGCTCACCAGAGCCGATGCGAGTCTGGTGCCATGGGGCATAACACAGCTCTGCCAGCTGATGTGCTCCAAAGGAGTCCAAACCTGGGTTGACTTGAGCCAGTTGAGAAGGACAGATTTATGATTTCATGATGTAGAGGTCCCAACATAGCATGTATGTAATAATACACATCGAAATAATGCCCGTTTAGAGGGAACTTACTTTGTTTTACAATTACACAATTATCAGTTATATATTATGCAAACTTTCGGGGGTGTCGCTTTGTGCGCAGAAAAGTCCATGCACCAAGATGTGGATGAACAAAGCGCAGGTAGCAAGCGGCAGGATTGCTGGCAAGCCCGCTCTCACAAGCATGGCATCAAGGGCATTGGCCCCATCTTCATCCTAAGCTCCCAGCTAAGCATTGCCTCCACTGCCTTGGCAGCTGCCTGATGATGCTTGTGGATGCGGAGAAGCAATGTGTGTTCATGTCTTTTTGTAGCAAAGGGGATGTGGATGATGTAGACAAACTGTTGAACAAGAGAATGTACAGTAACCCAAGAGTTCTGTTTGCTGAAGGAAATTTGGCCCAGTGACAGAACAACTGAGGGTCCAAATCCTTGACAAACCCGGAAGTCTGTGTCACCAATGGGAAACTTTTATGAGACTCACGAAAAACTGCCTTGCGATGATCGCTTACTTGCACAACAAATCATCAACAAAGCCATACATCGAGGACCTCTTCCGCTTTTGCGGAGCAAAAATCAGACGCAATCGTACCAGGAGCCCCATGAATCTCATCCATCCCCTGTGATTCGATCTCTCCCACGCGTCATTATTTTTCATCGATCCGTCCAGATGACTCTTGGGGTCTGCTGTGAAGCTCCCAAGTGGACACGAGAAGAAGGCCCACAAATGTGTGGGCTCCATGCAGGTTGGTTGGGAGGACTCGTCAAATGTCATGTAGAATATGGATGACACTTCAATATATTTCAGCCCCCCATATGACGACATATAGAAGAACTAAACTGCCCATAATATGAAGACATATAGAAGAACTAAATTCAGGGGCTTTACATTCCATGTCTTGTTTCCTATCATCCACCTTCTACATGACCACCTCAGCCGGACCACGGGGTGGACCACAGGTTCACCTCCTTGGACCCGCGCCTTGACCCGCCCCAGCGCCGTGGTATACAGTGGCTTTCCATCAGAGGCTCCGACCTGGGACGCGCGGAGCCGTGGCGCGAGGCGTTGACATGGTGTCAGCCCTGTTAGGGGGGAGAGAGTTGCCATTTCCTTTGAACGAGCAATCTTCTGCCCCCAAACAAACATCCACTCATCACTCAACAAATCAACAAAGCAGTATCAGTACCATCACGCTCCGAGCATGACACGTGCATCTGGTAAGATCTGAGTTGCCCACGGCCTTCTCGAAGTCTTCCACGGCCTTAAAAAGACACGCGCCAATGCGGTGGGCATCGGACATGGCCCGAATGGTGCTTTGGAGTCTCCGTGAACTTGCTTGAACTTGGCCCTACCTCCAGGTGGGTTTCAACAATTGGGGTGGTCGTCTGGTCCTTCTCATTGTTACTCATCGACTCAGTTCGCCTCTTATCTATAGTGGTTTGAGTTTAAATCAAAAGCATCGGCCCGAACTCTTCACTGGTCCTTCCATTTTCTCCCACCGAGAATGGGATGACCAAAGGACGAACCCTCCAGCTCCGTCGGCTGTCGGCACCCGGCTTCGGCCCGGTTGTGATCAGACCCGGAGGACATCAACGGATGGATCACCCCCTCGCCGATGACGGAAACCCAGGCCTTCTGCACGCTGGCAGGCGTGGCTGTGAGAGCCTCGGCGATGGAAGAGCATTTCTTCCATGTGGTGTTGGTCCATGTATGTCCATGTGGAGGCGTTATAGACCTCCAGTCCCAGAGTCCAGAAATTGGATGATATACTGGTAAACTTGCTATTCCTACCTCGTCTACTGTCTTGCCTTGCCCACATCTCGGAGATGCCCCTACATGCTGCCACTAATTAGATCAAATCTGGAGTTGGCAGAACTGAAGAAAAAAAACATGCAAAAAAAACCTTTCGCATCACCGTCTTGACCTGACCTGTTTCACTCCCAAACCCTCCCCCGGTGGCTCCGTTCCGCTTGCTTCGCCGCTCCCCCCACGCACGCTCCGCACGCTCCGCACGCTCCGCTCCGCCTCGGTGGCCGAAAAGCCCAGCGCGGCGAAGTGGTGCGCCTCGGTCCGCTCCGCCCGAGCCGGCCGCGCAGCGAGGCGAAGCGGCGGGTCCGATGGTTTCCTTTCGGGTCACCGGGTCGGAACATCGGAACTCTTGGTTTGGGGGAGTAGGTTGGTGTGGGGAGGGGGAGTAGGTTGCGCCTGCTTGGCACCTGCTGGTTCTTCTGAAGGCGAACCCTGATTTGCCTTTTTCAAGCACTCTGGCAGCTATCTAATCCATAAACAGCACAAGGAACACCCGCTCAACATGCAGCTTCTCCACCAGGCGTGGAAGGGAACTCCTCATGTCTCATCACTCCCCTCTCGCAATGCATGAAGCTTCTCCACCACCTCATTGGCATATGCTTGGCGCCTTTTCCTGCCAAACACCTCAGATATGGGGCCGCACATTCACCCCCCCCAAAAAAAAAGAAACAAACAGCAACACACACAAAGCAGCTAGAGAAGAGGTGCTTGCAAACCCTCTGTCAAATTTGGTTCAAGTTCTGCCTGGGGATCTCAACAGCCGGTATACCCTTCTTTGGGCGACTCTTTTGACATATCCAAGGCACTCTGACTCCGATCAAAGTCACAGGCTTCGTGTTCTCTTCAGGCACCTCCTTCTTCTCTTGAGGCAATACCGGAACTAGACGAAAGCATTTATCAACAACATCAGCGTTTGATGGATATGGGAAGATTCGAACCTTGCGGCCTATTGTGGTAGAGTTTGTGTTCATTCTGACATACAGCCCGCCCTTTGTTAGATTGCACATCCACATCTCTCCTTCAGGTGCAAAGATGAGCTCAAGACTGTGCAAGCAAATGTCGTGGTCCATCCGGACAAAAAGAGCCTCATTGACGGTTTTGGGTGTCCATCTCCCGTCACATGAGGCCAATCCACAGACGAGTGCGTCAGCGGATTTAATATCAGCCGGCTGCGTGTTGATTCTAACGGTCACTGGTTCTGGCTCGCTCACCAAGCCAGCACGTTTGGATGCCCTCACTCGCTGTGGGGTTCGACCAAGCCAGAAATGCTCAATGACTTCATAATTCTGCTCGTGGGTCAAATGTACCCTTGCCTGGTCAAAGAACTTTTCTTTTGTCATGGCCCCGAAGCGGATGTGCTGCGACATGAGCCTCAGGATAGCTGTTTGCTGTGCCACCTCGTGTGCACCACTCTCCTGACCTTCGGTTTTGCTACGTTTCACCACCTCTTCCGTGGTGTTGGCGAAAGGCCCAAGAATCTCCGGTTGGCGCACAGCATTTGCTGACCACGCCACCAAGCAGCTCCACAAATCGTCTTCGTTCACATCAAACTCATCGAGTTTGATGAGTTGATCTATGATGAGACCATGCGCTACTTGAAAGGCTGGTGAGGCAAGTACTTTTGAGCTCTGCAGTAATATGTTGGTCCAATAGTGTCGGTGCAATTCTTGTACGAAACAAAAGCAGGACTTGGCAGCGGCAGTCATTGCCTGCAAAATCTGCGTGCAGTCTTTCAAGCCATATAAATAATCAGCACAATATCTTTCAAGCTTCTCAATAAGATACATTTTGGAAGCTTGCAGCGTGTGGACTGCGCTTTCCGGCGTAAGATTTAGCTTCAAATGGCAGGCTGCTCTCATCATCACCGTGAAAGCTTCAAATGTTGCATCTAAGGTGATCTCTCGTGAGCTGGCTTCTCTAAAATCACCGTACCTGCAAGTGATGAGTGACAGGAGCAATAGAGATGAATTCTTAAAAATGAGAGCGAAAATCCACCGGTATCTCCTTCTGTTGGTCACACCGCCCAGAACAGAAAAATTTAAAAAAAAAAAAAAAAAAACTATGGGACTATAACTGCAACCGGTACTCCGTTACGGCCAAGATACAAGGCCTTCTCCAGTGGCAGCGATAGGGCGGCCAACAAAGCCCGGATGAAGGGTACCCGGCGCCCGTTGCGCAAGACCGCCACGGCGTCGCAGTACTTCTACTCCGCAAGGATGCGCTCGGACCATTCGTCTTGAGCGCTTCGCAGGAGGGCATCCATCGAGCGGTTCGTTGCGGCCGCTGGCACCGGGGCGGTGTGGCAGGCGAAAGCTGCGGACAAAGACTCAACACCAAGCACACTAAGCACATCGAGACTTGAAGCCTAGCTTAGGAACCCCTTCGCTCACATATTATATTCACATTCGGTCTCCATGTTCTGTCCTGTTGAGGGCATCCTTTACCTTTTGCCCAAGTGTACCCCAACCAGTCAGTTGGGGCAGCCTATATACCGAAGTTCTGCACACCTTGCCATGGTGCCCCGATTCTCAATAAATATGTTTAATTCAGATTCATTCAGTGAGGATACGTAAGGAAGGAATGCATCCCCAAGTCTTGCCTTGAGTTCAGCAAGTGAGTGGATGCCACCCACATCCCAAGTGAACTGCTTCCATCAGAATCTGTCAGATTTCCCCATTTCGTTGGAGTTTTGACCTAACAAAATGGCTTCATCTTAGGCCTCTGAACTCCCTTCCAAAGCTGCTGACTCCTTCAACTAGTCCCAACAAGTCCCAACATGTCTGTGACTACTTCCATAGTCTGAGCCCATTTGCCACTGATCCGCCCCCACCCATCCACCCATCTGCCAGACCGGCACGGAGTCACCGCTTCACCCGGCCCTCTCGGCGCCCCCCACCGCGCGGGCCACGCGCCGCAGCGCGCGCTCCCGCGCGTCGGGGATCGCCGCCAGCTCCTCGGCCGTGGCCTCGGTGGACGCGCACGGACGACCGGTGAGTTGAAGGGACAGTTCAAGGGACTTCGTCCGATTCCAATATGTCTTCAACTCTCTGTTGGCGTGAAGTTGAAGGGAATATATTCAACTCTCGGTCGAAGTCTTCGTCCAATTCCCTTGATTCCAATACTTCAGCAATCCCTTGGCTTCCTGGCGGAAGTTCATCACTTCACCCTGGAGGACCCCTCCACACTGCAGCCGCTCCCTCTTTTCTTTGGGACCGCTCGAGTGGAGTGCGGGCCGTTAGGCTGCGCCCGGAGCGCCCGGAGCGACTGAGGAAGGCGTCGGCGCGGCTATGAGCTCAGATCCGCTCAGTAGCCGTAGGACTTGTCCACCTAGACGGATGGGGTTTGAAAGTTGGGCCAAACAAAGAACCTGCAGAAGGATCCAGCCAGGCACAGAAAACCACTTCATTTGCGGTAACAGCTGTGTGCAAGCCTGGTCAGCCGATGCTAAACTGATAAACCACGGACCTGGTGTCAGGGAGGCACTTTCTCATCTATCTTCGCTCATGAGAAGCTCGCATGTGTCAGTTGTGTGCCAATTTGGAACTGAAACAGCGGAACAGTGACAAATATATCTTCAGGAACAACTACTGCAGTTGGCACGTAGGCAGCTTGGCCCCAAAGCTGCCTTGTGGTACCAAACAGTAGAATACACGGGTCAAACTGGATGGGGTAAGCAAACACAAACCATAAAATGATGTCTGATACTGATATGGACCTGGTCAGAAGCCTGCAAATGAGGAGGAGATGAAGCGACCATAGGGCTACAAAACAACAAAGCCTCTGGTTTATGGCTTACTCCACCTTTGAAGTACCTTGAATACTACCGCCTCCCAAGTGGAACAAATAATGTGCCTAATAATGCTTGAAGCCACCCGTTCAAAAACCCAGATTAGTAAGATTAGTTATTTTTAGAAGAACCATAACAAGGAGGGACTCACCGTGGCATCATCCCATCCATCCCGACTCCTCCGAAACCAACCCACCAACGGTCTCCGGTCTTCGAATCGACCGATCGACCGACGCGGGCCGCAGCGCCGAGCTGGCGGGGCCACCTGGTTCTTGAAGCCCGAGAACTCCGGCGATCGGAACAGCTGGAGATTCTCCAGGAAGATCTCCCAGGTTTGGTTCATGTACCTCAGCACGAGCGAAGTCGCTCGAGCTGACCCCAGCCACCTATACTGTAGCCACCCTGGCCTGCCGCCCCGGCAGGTTGGAACTCAGGAAGCGAAAAGAAGGGCTTATATAAATGTAATGAAAGCCGAAGCTGGCTCAGGTTTGGACCCTGAAGCCAACCAGAAAAGGTAGTCCGGTGTAGAGTCATCGATTCCATGACGTCTTGCTCTTGAGCTGGATATGCCCTTGGCCACCCAGGTCTGATGATGTCTCAACCTAATTAATAGGTGAAGGCCCAGGCTTTCAGTCGGGATGAAAGCCTCATCGATTTTCCAATCCGGGACCCTTTTGCAGCAACGAGTGTGGAGCGGTTCACCCATATCTACGTAGTCCCACTGCCTAACTGTAGGCAGTGCGTCCGTCGTCCGTCACACCAGTGGAGAAGTTGAGATGCCTCAAAGCTTCATGTCCGTGCGTCTAGTACAAGAAGTGAACATCCAATACATCCACTATCATCCACTATCATCCACTTGTCCTCTGCCTCCCCATGTTTTAAGAACATCAACCCCGCAGACCCAACGCTTCCCCCCACATCACAGATTGGTTGTCACCTGAAGACTGAAAATTCTCTTCGCCACTCCCATACTGTTGTCTCTATCTTTTGCTTCCATCTGACTGGCCCACCCTCTGCCCAGGCACGTCGGGGTGAGGTCTGCGTTGTGAGAGCTCAGCAGGACATTGTCCAAGGCCCACAAGGGAGACTCCGCCACCAAAGGCTCCTCTGGGGCTGTTGGCGAGCCATTGGCGCAGCAAGCTGAGCTGTGGACTGGAGTTGATCCATGACCATTGACCATGAAGCTGGGATGGCTTTGGGGGCGAAGAAGTGACTCTACCGTGTCGATCTCCCCTTTCGCCCCGATCGTTCGAATGAACCATCCCATCGTCTCTCATGGAATCACCGCAACCTCGGGTCGACTCTTTCACAAATACCTTGGTCTTCAAAACAGTTTGGTCTTTCTTTCTATAGTTGAGGAAGGTCTGATCCAACCCGGAGGGATCTGGAGAGGTTTTACAAAGGAGCCAACATCCTGAGAGCCTGTGGTGGGGGCCATATTCCCCCCAAGACTGCTTGATATCAACCGCCACTTAAATCGCCTCTCAGGCTTGAAGCCAGGTTTGGGGTACACAAGGCCTGCTATAGTCGATCCGTGGCTACCACCCCACAAGGGAGCAGCGCCTCCGCCTCCCACCTCGGTGTTTGTGGCCGGCGAGTCTCCTTCTCGAAGACATCCAAGGCAGCCCCTAAGATCTTCTTCTTTTGAAGCCTCAGAGACGAACCAATCATTACAAATCCCTTGCTGAGAAGTCCTCTTTGGACAGGTGGGGGATCCTGGAGACACCAAAAGGCAAAACGTACGCTCAACAAGCTCCACTTGGTGTGTTTTGTACACTCCCGAAAACTAACATAGACCCTGACAGTGGCCCCCTGGGAGAGTGTTTTCCTCTACCAACCAGTGGTTTTCAGGGTCCATGTTAGTCTTCCAGGTTGTATTTTCTTGTCGGTCCAAGGTGCACTTCTATCAGCGCGGCTTCATCCACGCAAGTTCCTGCAGGCTTGGAGGACAGGACTGGAATCTCTCCACCAGGCTCCACAAGGTCTGCCACCCAAACCATCCTTTACTGGCACACCCTCAAGCCAACCCTCCCTGTTTCTTTTTCGAGTCAGAACGTCCATGAAGTCCCTTCGTAGCACGAGTCATGACGCGTGCTTGCATGGCTCGTAGCACCATGGGTTTGGAAGAAACGCCGTGGCAGTTAATGGCCCACATAGTGCCAGTAGTTGCTTTTGGAGGACTGATATCCGCTGGTAGCCTATCTCCCCAGGCGGCCAAAAGGCTACTGGCCAGTTGCTATCACATTCACCATGTCCATTCACTTCGTACCGTATCTGGTGTCAAGATCCTTATAGTGCCTTATAGATCCGTAATTCTTGGCCTTTCCTTCCCTTATCGATCCCTAATATAAAGTCCTTCTCTTTCCGCTTCAACCATATGTGTCAGGCAACCTACACACCATGCACATGACTAAACACTCCTCTTCACCTCCACACCCGTCGACCCTTCGACCGTCCCCTTCACCTCGGCCGAGCGAGAGAAAGACGCCCGAGGGCTTCATGACCTGCAGCGGACGGGGGACGGTCGCCACCGGTGTTAAACGGCGGGTGACTGTGTGGGTTGGGTGGTGATGGTGGGGTGGGTGCTCTGCAGGACTCCCTGTGGAGTCCAGAGCATGCCTTCGGTTGATGGAAAAACCGATCGAAAAGTGGAATCTACTCCAAATGTTGGGAACGTTTAAAGACTTGTGGAAGAAACATGTTTTACTCAACGTGCCCAAGCACCAGTCACTTGGTCCAGAAAGAACTCTGGGAAGATGTATTCAAACCTCCAACTTACCAACTGCTCTTTTGCCAAAACTCACTCAACAGTTTTTGATCCACATCTCGTCTAGGAAGGGGGGATTCGGGGTGGGTTGGAGGTTCAATTCCTACCTTCTGATGCGCATCTGAGGATGAGATTGGACCTGAAAGAAGTCTGGACCTGAGGGTTTTGAATTCTGGTCATGCCCTGCCCCCCCAACCATCACATCCACCACACTTTGACTGGGCAAGTGAGTTGGGAAGTCTGCCATGATCTTAAACTGACATTCACACCCCACAGCTGAAACTCCTTGCGTTGTCTTAACCTCTTACACTCGCTCCCGTCACTCGTGTCCCCAGCCCGGCGGGTCTTCTTCGATACTTCGGGGGTCGGAACCTGCCAGAGCACCTGCCGTCGCCTCCATCCCCCACTCACCCAGGGCCCCGAACTGCAAAGTCCGCTGCCTCAGGGTGGGAAGGGGACCAGCAACCAGACGAGCCCTTGACACATGTTTCACATGTTTTAGATGATCTCCCTGACAAAGCAGTGGATCAGAGCGGATCAGTCTGACGATCACCTGCCAAATCAATTTGGGGGGAAGCACATGCTCCACCTGCTGCTGCACATGCTGTCTAGGCACTCCACAGGCATGGTAGGTGGCCTCGCCACCCGGGAGGGAGCAAATCACAAAGTCGGATTGCTTGAAGACTTCCTGCAAACGGAGAGATGGCACGACCTCTGTGTGACCTGCGGCGGCTCTCACTGTTTTCATACATTTTCTGATGAAGACCGCAAAACATGATCCACATCATCTATATACGCTTTAAGCCCTTTGGCACCGATTGACTCACGCCCACCAATGAAATCACCTGTCTGAATGCTCCCAGATTGTTGAACTCGCTCCCCAACCCACAGCGGTTCCAACAGCTTTGCTTCCCTGTTGGTCCGGGCCTCCTTCGCTTGTGGCCCATCCCCCGCGTAGAACATCGCGTCGGCCAATTCCTGTCCACGAAAGGAATTGAAGTGTTGATGGACCCCAGCGGCCCAGTGGTTGAGAAACATGTAAGTAAAAACAGAATGATGTATCATACCTTAAGATATATCAAGGTATCTTGGAAAATCATAAGAATCATAAGATATATCAAGGTATCATACCTAAGAATCACCCTGTGTGCCAGAACTCCAGCCACAAACAACTTGTCCTTTACCACTTTGGCACATTCGGCATCCTATTTTTGAGCCATGAGCCATCTTGGCCGTTCTCTCCGCCGAGCTACCACAAACCTCCTGACTCCGCCCGCGGCATGGCCCCCGCTCCTCGCCGGGGAGACCGCGTCGGTTGCGCCAGCCGAGGACCCTCATCCCCAGCGCCCGACACAGCTTCGCGGTGGTCTGCGCGATGTCGCCAAAGCCGACGAAGCCGCAGGTCTTGCCGTAGAGCTCCTGGAGCAGAGCGACGAACCAAAGCTGACGCAACCGGTGGAGTGCTGGATGAAAGAAACAAACGGGCAAGCACGGCAAGCAACTGGATTTGGATCCTGTCTGGGTGTCCAATGGTCCATCAGGAGTGCTGTAGTTCACCAAGTGGGTGGAGATAGATAGGTGCTGTAAGTAGGTGGATGATGGCTTTCTGAGTTCCACGTCGACGTGTTTGTTGCCTCCCCCCAACCTCTCCTGCATCTGAAACTTTTCCCAGGTGCGGCTCGCGCGATTGGCCTGCGCGATCGCTGTCTTCGATGGGGCTTGTTTCGTGGCGCAACCGGTGACTCCAAGACGAACTAGATTAGATGACGCGGGCACACAGGTTTCCAAGCATTTGTTGAGGATGGCTTGCACCTCAAGGGAGGTTCTCCTGTCAGACAAGTTCGGAGCTGAATGAAGACCTGTATGCTTCAGTTAAGATAGCGCTAGCACCCATGGTTACATGCAGTAACGGTCGATTGGGATCCACTCTCACGTCACTCACCTCGGCATCCACCGTCCGTCCCATCGATCGCTTCGTCGCACACTCGATCGCTACGCGTCGCATCGCTCCACGCACGTCCACGGTGCCCTGATCGGTCGACCGTCTCCCAAGGGCCTGAAGTCTCGGTATCTGCTTGTTGAAGTACATCATCGCTGCTACAGAGTACTCTGCCAGCGACCTGCCGGGGCTGAGGGGGATGTCCGTCCTGTCGCATCCTGTCTGGGTGTGCTGGACTATGCTGGCTACACGACTGGAGGTCGATGGGACACCCGAGACAGGATGGTCGTGGTGGGTGGCTGTTCATCTTACTGTTTTCTTTGTCCAGTTCGTTTGGGATCCAAAAACCGAAACAAAGCACCTCAATCAAAACATCTCAAACACATCTGAAGCTTATAGCGTTAGTTTGGGGAGTGTTTCAGTTTCACTTCCAACCCATCTCCGCAGATGGACTCAGCGCTATAAACTCAAGCACTAAAATGGAAAGCTGAGAACCTTTGCTGGAACCCTAGAACCCGGGCGACCCTTTCGCTCATGACCCGGGCGAACGAACCCTCGAGAGTCGGGCCGAGTTCCTCCGGCCGACCGGCCTGGAGAAGGCGCCCTTGGCGTTGGTCAACGGCGTCTCCAGTGCGCCCGGCAAGGTCTTGAGCACCGGCACCAGGGTGTCGACTCCAGCAGAGAGGCAGTGGATCCACTTCACCTCTGGCAGTGAAGATTCGGGTGAAGTACAGAATTCATCTGAAGATTCCGGTGAAAAAGTAGTTTGGACACTGATCGTTGGTGTATTGGACGTGTTCGTTCTGCTCTAGGCAATTCTTTTGTGTGTTGGATGGTTACAGTATCATTCCACTGGAGCATCTGCTTCGTAACTACAATGAGGAAACTAGTTCGTGTGTACGACATTGGGTTATGCACGAGACGATCCGATGATGCGTGGGAAGGAGTCTAAGTAAAACACCCAATTGTATGAGGAAAATAATTTTCCAAGGAGGCTATTGTCCACTTGCACGATTGCTCGAAAGGGACATAATATGATAAGTACAATTAAATACAAGTTCTTGCACGATTGTTAGAGAGGGAAATAGTACAAATACAGGCATGCACATACAAATACTTGCACGAATGTTCGAGAGGCGGGAACCCACAACGATCGACTCCCACAACGAGGTCCTCCGAGCCTTCACATGTGGCCATAGTTCGCTGATGACCTCCGCCCTGCCACCGCTGAAGACCGAGAGCACCAGGACCTCAATCTCCTCCAGTTTGCGTCCGGAGCTTTGGAACTCCTCCAGGGAGTTGCCGAAAAGGCCCACCACGTTCCTGGGAGACGGTTCCCCGGATGAGAAGGTGTGGTGTTTTCAGACACCACGACGTGACTCACCCGGTGTCGAAGTGAACAGCGTGAATGGACCGCCTTTGAATGGAGACTGGTTGGACCGACCGGGGGGATGTCTTGGGACCTGGTGAGGGCCACCAGTGGTCGTCTTGTCGGTGGAGGACAACTCGATGCGCGGCCAGGTGCATCGATTGATGCTTTAAGAGACCTCTCTCCTCTCAGATCCTTTGGAACCAACTCGTCTTTTGAAAAAGACGCGCGGTCTTCTCCGTTCACGGGAAAGGCCCCGACCGGTCCAATCTTCACCACGGCGTCCCAGGTTGGTGCAACATCCAAAGCCGTTCAAACATGGGATTCTTCAGTCTTCCAGTCAACTTATGAACCCTGACACACAATGATTGGCAAATCACCTGACCACTGATTGGCAGATCACCTGTGCCCTTCACGCAATGTTCCCAGTCCCCTTGAGTACAAGCATGCCCAGTCACATGACCAGTTCAAGTCTACTAAGCTCTACGAAGTCATCTTCCAGTTGTTTTTGTATAAAATTGTATAAATTGAGTTGGATTGATTTGGCATCAAGTTCCATCGACACCGTTGATGAAAACTCTATTCGATACCTTCGGTGGACCTCTTCGGACCAGTTTGAGAGATAAGATTCCCAGCCACATTTGGCGCGGTGGCCAGCTCGTGCAGCTGGATGCCGTTCTCGGTCTTGGTATCAGAGATGAAGGCCACCAGGGTCATGTTCCGCGTTTGGACGCTTGATCCAGAACAGCTCAAAGCCACAGCGCCACAGAGATCTTTGCGAATCAAATGGCTTCTGAAGGCGTTTTGAAGTCTCAGGCGAGAAGAAACACGGCGAAGAGGGATCATGTCACTCCTGCAGGGTGACATGAGGTGTTTAAATCTGTTCGGAGTTTCATCCACTGTCCATCACTTTCCAGTGCAACAATGAGGATGCCCCAGTCTGCCAGACCTGCTCAATGCAAAAACGTACCATGTTCCCATGTTTCTGTTGTAAGCTCGATTTGATTTGGGGGTCTCCAAATTAGGAGCACCCCAACGACGATATAGAAGACTAAGTGATGATGAAACACATTGCTTGTGGGGATCAAAGCCAGTTTGGTCACCCTGCACCTGGATCCCCCGAAAAGGAAGCCAGTTGATCCAGCTGGTGTCAAGTGGAACAGGTGGAACAGAGGCACCAGCAGCACAGAAAGCAGCACTCGTCGCACGTGCGCTTTGCGACCCATCGGGTGCACGACGGCCCATGTCCTTCTTGGGTTCAAACCACGGGTCGCGGCAGGGTTTTCAGGCAGCGAAAGAAGGGGTTGGGGGGATGGCAGCAGTCATCTCATGGATGCAACGAGAGAACAGATCCATGGACGCACTCGAGTCACCGGCGACTTAGCGTTCAACCGATTCCCTCTTTTTGCAGTTATGGCAGTTATGGCATCATGGCATGTCAGACTTCCGAATTCAAAAGCCGTCATCAAGAGTCGTGGAGCTCCAATTTGCTGTGGCACAACGGATCAAACCTCCAAATGCAGCTTGAAAAGAGGTCCACTCAAATGGTATGAAATGGTTCTACAAAACAATCCTTTGCCATCCATTGGTCCAAACTTGTGGAACTAGATGGTATCTCCATGCCATGGCTTGCGTACAGAGACCATGGCTTTGGCATGTTTTGGAGGGTTGCACAAGCTGAACCCTCCCGGTGGCACCAGCCCATCTTGGAAGCCCCAACGCTGGAGCCACTGAGGACATCTCCCACCTTTCCCTCGAAGTCCAAGGGCGCGTATTCCTCGGTCCGTGCGAGTCCGCCGATCTTTCTGGTGGGTTCTTGGCTTGACGGGTGAAGGGAAACTGTGCGACAAACCCCACACCCCCAGATCCTTACGAGGTCTCATGTGCCCCGTCCAGCCACGTGGGAACACCCTCCGTGCATCACCACGCCTTCATTCTCCGAAGCCGCTCCAACTTCGTCACGTCGGCCAGCGCTTTGCCCGTGCGGCCGCCTGGAGTGGGTTGGAGGAGGTCAGCTCAGAGCGTCGACGCCAAGGATCAAGCTGCTTTGCCCATCCAACGGTGAGATGCCAACGAACCAACGTCAACGTCAACGCTCCTTCTGCGCGTCGCGTCCTTCGTTTCGCGTCCTTCCTGACTCACAAAGCCTACGGTCCAACTCAATCAGAGATCTTGGGGACGTTCTGCCAACCCACTCTTTGGGCTCGAAAGGGAAACCCAAAAGCAAGTTCTCCAATTGCCCCAAGCGCGAAATCATCTCTTGGATTTGCTTGAGGAACCAGGAAAAGCAATATTTCCCACAAGGGGATTCACCCACCGGGAAAATAGAAAACGCCGTATATAGGCAAAACCAGGATCTAGATCCTTAAAGGGGTGCTCCACACGTGGCTTGTCCCCACCCCCAGCTCTGCCATGCGCCACACGGGGCTCCGTACCGCCCACTAGGAGTCGGATGTTCCACAAATCCTTGGACCTTGGAAAAATTGGATTCGAAAATAGGAACAAGAGGACGCTACTAGGGGCTCCTGGCATCGCTACGAACGGAGCAAAGGGCCTTACTGGCCTTACTAGTAGTAACAAGAAGCTATCTTTAGAAAAAAAAAAATCCAATGGATTGGTTGAATTCAAAAAAAATATAAAGACCGACGCCGAGTCTACCATGCTTTTCAACCCCCCAACCGGTCTTGAGTCTTGGGTCTACGGTCTCCATCTGATCATTGTATCATTGTCCTTTCTGGACCTTCAAACGTGGCAAATCACTCGGATTCACTGGCAGAACACGTCACTGACATATGATCTGTCACTTCTCTATAAATTACGTGGTTCTCTTCCATAAATAAGGGGACGTGGTGGAACCAAAAAACAATAAATATATTAATAATTATAAACACAAACGATATATTTGAAACAAAAATACACAAACTGTGTTGTTGAAAAAAAAACATATTGATCAAAAACCGTGACGATCTTCACGATCTCAATGACAGTGGTGGAAAACCCAACCCGGAAACCCTTTTGAGCTGAAGAAACCAAAACGCTGAGATGGATTCTTGCTTGGTCCTGTGTTTTTTGGACACTTCAGCGGGTTCCGCCTAGGTGTCAGACTGGACAATCTGGACACCTTCTTCATTGGTGTTTTTGTCTTGAAAAGAGCCCGTCCCTGTTCCGGAAGCGGCCGGATCAACCTCATGACCGTGTATGGTGTCTTTTTGAGTCTTTTTATGGTGGTGTGGGAGATCAAAGAGCAAAGAAGACAGACCAATGTGTTGTGGCATGTGCTAAAAAGCCGAATGGCTCCGGACAATGGCGGCGGCTTGGTTCTCTACATTCTCTCTCGCGCAAGTTGTCGTGCAATGGGGCATGTCTGAGGGTCATGAACCATGAGATGGCGTAGATCAAAGGGGGCCCTCATCTCTCGAAGAGTTCCTGATTCCTCCAAGAGATGCCCCCCCTATGGCATCCTATGGCCACCTGGAGCCGCCTTTTGGCAGGTTTTGGATGTTTCACCGTGACTTCACCCGAACCTGCCATGTGCAATTCACACTCGAACTGCTGAACTGCTCGCATCCGGCTCCCGTTCGGCGCTCGGTTCGGCTCCCGGGATCCCCCGGCGAGGGCGGCCCCGCGCTCCGCTTGGGCGGAGTACACCTGGGTCGACCCGCATGCGGCGCGGCGCGGGGTCTGGTGGAGGTGAACAAGAGGGAAGTGGGAACAGCACACCCTGCGCGGGGAAAGGCATCTTCCAAGGGCCATTCCCATCCACTTCCGTGCTGAAACAAGGTTTTGGGCAACCATTTATGCCTGATTCACCACTACTGGCCACCTGTGAATTGTCGCAGCTGTATGTTGAGTGCAGAAACATCAAGATCTCAAACACATTGATGGTTCCCACTTGCTGCACATCCATTCATTGTTGATCTCAGAAACCTATTCAGTTCGCATCGAGTATTCCAATTCAACATAAGATCAGTCAAAGTCTACCCACCACGAACTCCGTGGAGCACTGGAGCACTGGCAACGTCTGAGACTATCGGGCAACTCACTGAGAGATGTTAAGAAATCGGAAAAAGTTGGATAAATTTGGTGTAAGATCGATCAAACAGATTCATGACACTATCTGACACTATCCATGACAGCTGGCATCTGAGAAAATCAGGCGCCAAAACCCTCTGGCTAACAGTCTTCTTCTCACTACCAGCCACATCAGCATCTGAGGCTCAAGCAAGACCGCGCGGCAATGGCCAACATTGGCTACCTTGGAGCAAACTGACGAAAGCAGCAAGCAAACAAAATAAACATCCAGCAGCTCCAAACATTTAATTTGTTTGACTGAGTGGATAATTTAAACCATACAGTCCAACAACCACCCCGCTAGAATCCATGGAGATGAATCGAAGGAAAGTACACTCCCTTAGAAGGTTCATGATGTCCAGAGTCATTTGTGCAACGACAAACAAAAGGCCATAAGCGGTGGGTATATCCAAGCACACGTTCGCAGTCATCCCCAAGTAGTTGAATTTTGGAACAGTCCAAAGTTATGTCCTTTTCGTCCTCGCAATGCCTGTCAGTTACATATTCTATGGACTTGTACCCACTGTCAGTCCAAACATGCAAGTGGCAATTGGAAGAAAACGCCTTCCCACCACCCTTGCCATCCACTTCTTCTATGTGAGTCTGAGCCTGAGTGTCGATTCCTGTGGATCCACATACTCTCTGAGGTACGGTGATTGGAGACTCCTTTATGTAGGCGCCAGTCGTACCAGAAGTGATGTGGATCCCTAGGGCTTTAGAATCACCTTGGGAAACCCGGAGCAGCAAGCCCTCCAAGCCCTCCAAGCCCTCGGCCAGTACTCGCTGGCCAAGCACCAGCAACAAGGCCTCAGGAGAGCTTTTAGCCACCTGTATCCTTTCAAAAACCGTCCTGAAGGCCTGAAGGTTCCAAAAACGTGAGATGTCAGAGTAATAAAAGCAACGTTCCTTGGGATTAGGATCAACGAATGTTTCACGAAGTGGATGCAAAACACAGCAGACCAATATCAAGCCCTTCACCCCACAAAAATGGATGCAACATGACGCAACTACCAGCTTGACAGACCTGAAGCATCCCACGCTCCCGCAAGTGGATGGACCTGGCCCCAGAGTTTACAGGCGGTTTGGGTGGTTGATGACTCCACCGCCGAGTTCCTCTGAGCTCCAAGCCAGACCACAACCTGCACAGCACCCACCAGTCGGTCAATCGACCAGGCTCTCAAAGCGTCAGATGAAATCAGCTTTCCATGTCAGGCCGGTACAGAATGCGTCCATTGGTTCCAGAACGCCAAATCTTTTTTAGTTAAAAAACGAACCCAAAAAAAGGCCAAGAGAGCGGCGCGTCTTGCCGATTGGCTGCGCGAATTGGTTGCAGCCCCACTTACAGTGTTCCTAAACATCGACTGGAGGAGTAGAGTTTGACCCAGAGAAAAAGGGACATCCCAAAGATGTCTCTTCCCACGAGTTCACCCGGAACACTGCACCTTGGGGAGTTTCGCCTCCCGCCCGTTCATTCATCTCACGCCTGCATAGCGGGCATTGCTCTCAAGCAAGGATTTGTCCAGGTCCTCAACGGCCTGGCAATTTTGTCGAAACCCGCCGTCGAGAGGATTTGCACGGGTCTAACGATTCGTCTGTGGGGCTGCAATGGAATTATTGTTTAAACCAACGGTTTAATACCAGGACAATGCCTGAGAGCAGCGGCTGTGGGCTGTGGGCTTTAGCCAGGCTTGGGAAGACGGATCCATCCCTCCTTTCAGTCACGAACTCCTGATGAAAGCAGCTTCAGGGTTGGAGGGATCCGCTGGGTGCAGAGCAGAAGCTGTTCCAAGTTACACTCCAGCCTGGTTCACCATGTCTATGAGTTCGAAGTCCTCCGGCCTCAGTGAGAGAGGGGGGCATGGGGAGGAGTTCCCAGAAAACTGGGATCTCTAGATGCGTTCAGCGTTGTCAGTGTTGTCAAGATTGAATCTCTTTGTCTTGATGACTCTAGTGTGCGTTTTTGGTGGGGATACCAGGGAAAGACCCTTCCTGCTCTATCCATTCCCTGCATGTTCCCCATGAAGAACTCATCATGCATCAATTCTCTGAGGATTCTTGCACAAGAAACGTTGGGACCGATTCAGATGTTGGCTGATTCATCCAGCTCCCCAGGCCTGGAGGTGCTTCACCCGGGTTTCCTGACCCCTCTGGGGCCGGGATCATCATCAAATGACTCACACGACTCACATGACCCAGGTCCCTGAAACACCTCAGGTGCCCCCAACTCGTCATGCCGAGCGCTAAGCCTGGCAACGCTCACGCTCACGAGTCGTCCATGGGACATGGGACATGAGAGTCAAACGCACTCTTGGAGTAGGTGAAGAAGAGCCAGGGCGCTTGGCTCTGGGCATATCAAGATACAAACGAGAACCTAAATGTAGAAAAGCTTTGCAAAAGATCACAACCCAAAAAAGAGAAGAGAAAAGAACTTGCACTAGGAGTCCCAAAGGGATAAGGGTGCCGATTATACACTCACTTAGGGGCTAAAAACCACCCCGTCTTGTGACTCCTGGTAGTTGGTTCCCCCTCTTTCCACGGCGACTCTTCACGTAGATGCACCACGCCAAAGTAAAGCGTAACGAACTCTTCTGCCTGTGGCTCTGTCAGGGGTCCAATGCCAGTACCTACAGTAACTCATCATACTCCCAAGTTACTTAGTCATCATGTGTCATCCAATTATATTTGTATCTATATGTCAAGCTGATGTCAGCTGCTACTCCTCGCGATCACCTTCAGTTTTCAACACGGCAGCAGCAAAGCCAACGCTCAGCGAGAGAGCCGGAGAGACCCTACTGCGCCTTGGCAGAAAGAAGGTGTGAAATCTCTGCGCGCAAAACAGCGCTGCCGCCTCGGTAGGGAAGACGGACCGGCGCGACGGAACGAGGGATGGCGCGACGGGACGAGGACGACAATCGGTTTGAAGAAAAGAGCAGGGAAAGATGTCTTGCTATTGCTAAAGGAAACATGATACTACTATCAAACCACTGCTCGAACTACAGTATCCTTCCCCTAACGTGTCATGAGTCCCTTCTTCCACTCAGCTCGCCACGCTCGATTCCCGCAGGCCATCCACCAGCAGGAACAGTGCAGCTGGTCGGTCCTGGCGTCGTCAAAGGCGCGGCGGGGTGACGCCGAAGGACCGGAGGACTGGCTGACGAATCCCAATGGGAACTGGAGGATTGAGTCCCATGGGATGGATGGTTTCGTCCTCGTCCTCTGGAAGTAAAGGGTTCATGAGGTAGGTGTCACTATGCAGAGAAACCAATTCTTGAGGTAAGGAAGCTCTAGAGGGGGTGGGGGAACACCAGGGGGTGGTGGTCATGACCTCATTCATCCTCATTCCCTTACTAGGCACTGTTCGAGATGAACTGCTATGGACTCTTGCAAGCTGTGCTCAAATTGGGGAAAAGCAGCCACCTTAGGGAATCTGTGACATCCAATGCCATACCTCAGTCTTCCATCCATACCTGCCATACCTCGATGGTGTTTCCGCTGGGTCGACGTTCTCTGTCCTCTTGCTGAGCCTTTTGGACCGAAAAGGTGACCTGTGAGCCTTCAAAGGAACCGTGCTTAGTTGATTCATCCCATGTAATCACTTGGGTGATGGTTATAGCTCAAGACCCATGTAATCCGCTACTTACTGGTTTGGGGTGAATGACTCAGAATCTATGGCCAATATGCACCTCTCACCTCTCACCTTCCCTCTTTCCGCCGAAGGATCTTCTTCGACACGTCGAGACCCCGCTCGGCACGACCGACCATGATGTCCGAGCATGTCCGAACTTAAATGGGTCTAACTAGCACCTTATATATATATATATATTTTTTATGGCAGGTGCCCCTATATATAGCTGTTTTCTGTGTTTCTCATCGTCACCTTGAATAAGAACGAAGATGAACCAAGCGAATGTGTCTCTGCTTCGTGCTCTGACATTGCTGTAAGCACCAGAAACGTATCAATTCGGTCATTTTGCCTCCTGTCGACCTGCGAGCCCAGGGTCCCACCGTCCCCCCACCAGAAAAAGGAGTGGCTGCTTCAACAAATGGCAGGTGCGATGCAGTTCAGGCCTTGGGACAAGTGCATGGGGAGGTGCGTGCTAGTTTGACATGGACAATGAGTCCAATGATCAAAGAAAAAGGAATGAATCATAGTACAACTAGACAAAATGTCCTTGACATTAGTCCAACTGTTCATCTATAGATTCTTCTCCCACAGAAAAGATGTGTTCAGTTTGCAGGTCCAGGAATTATGAGAGAAAGCCCTTTTGGACAGGGTGTCCAACGTGCCACGTTGGTCTCTACCCAGTTTATATCGATCAGATCTCACCAAAGAATCCAAAATGTTTCGGTCTGAGTTTCACCCAGAGAACATTCGTGTCCTGAAGGAGTAAAATTGAACCATGCCCTGGCATGGCAAAGGGAATGAAAACAAAAGCCAGTTGGACCAATATTCTGAAGTTGAAATCCTAATCAACCCTACTTCTGCAAACCTGAAGTCCTCACCTTACCACATTCACTCGCCCGCAGAGTCCCCAGCAACATCACCGCCATTGTGTCTTTGCGACCGCCGACAGCAGGAAGACATGCAGAGCCTCCCATGCAAGGTCGTCACCCGCATTCTGAAAGTTAGATACTCACATGAACCGTCAGGTGGTTCCATTGCAAAACACACGGGAATTTTTAGGGCTCGAAGCAGAGGTTCTCGCTTGGACCTTTGACGAATTTGTAAGGGGAATCCATGGGGGGTATACCTATTTTGCGGTTAACTCACCATATATATATAAGTAAGACTTTTAGCAGCCAACCGTAAGTGAACTTCATGTTGGAATCCATCCAACTGATGAAAGCCGTCCAACTGCTGAATCCGCCATCTCCGCGGCGCATCTGCCAGGGCCCCGTGCCATGCGAGATTCGCACCGGCAAATTCTCCGGGTGGTGCCTTTCTCTGGGACGACGAGTTGCCCAAAGCCGAGGAAGCTCTGTGGATTTGCCCGAGAGTCTTCAAAGACTATATGAAATTGTTCCGTAAAGTCTCATAAGTGTTTGCATTGTGGGTCAAGCACCTGGTCTTGCAAGATGCCAAGGTGCGTAGGAAAACTATGGAAAACTGCCCAAGGGCAGGACTGCCTGATGATGAAAACACATGTGCTTAGGGAGGAGAGTTGAAGCAGATTCGAGCAGTAACGGACCTTCTTCTCACTTTGGGAGGGATTCTCTTCCGGGAACCGGTTTGATTGATTCTCGGGTCTGTTTTTGTGCTGCTTTGCGGCTCAAGCGCCGCTTTTCAGCGGACGGGCGATCGACGGATAATCAAAGGGGATGGAAAGGGAATCCTGTCCAGCAGAATTGGACATGCAACATTATTCCTCCTCTTAATGATGGTCTTTTGAATTCTAAAAGAAGAGTCTGCGCATGCACGATGGGCAGCCATGCGTGAAAGCTTCCCTCCCGTTCCCTCCAAAAGCCCCTCCTAGATGACTCACAGGTTCGGAAATCAACTGAAAGGAGGTTCTTCTGGAGCTTCTGAAAGTCCTCCGGACCTCTGCATGTAAAACGACCTCCGTCATCCCGGTTGGACTCTCCACCTTCGACTCTGCACCGGGCGACGTCTGACGCTTCCGCTTCTGAGTTCCCCCGGCGGTGTTCCCGTTTGAACCCACCTCGGGAAGGGGCGGTGTCCCGGGGCACGTGAAGCCGTGGAGGTGGAGCGGTGGACAGCTGGTTTGGAGCGGCAACAAATAAGAGCTGGAAGATACTCAATGGCAACTGGTGCTGCTTTGAATCTGTTTGATATTCATTGAAAAAAATGTGATCACTGTGGTGATGGATGGTCACCATGCCATGAAGGTGTCTTGCCCGACTGCGAATAGTCACACAGGTCCCCTGCTGTTCGGGTCTCCAGCTCTGACCCAAGTCGCCCGCTTTGATCCGGGCTCCCGTCGTCGAATCCCAGCGAAGCGACGAAGCATCTTTTAGAACCGAATCTGGAGACCTCAAGACGCTCGAGCGACAAATTTTCTGTCCTGGCCATGTCTATTTCTTGTGGCTAGATGTGTCAGATGTACTCTTAGCAATCCAAACGTCCTCTCAAAGCTCAGCTGGAGCCCATAAACTTTCATTTTCTTTGCAGCTCACCCGAAAAAGGCCTTCCCACCATCCCATCTGCACTCTCCGGGTTCGCACTTCGCACCGTGCGCCCACGATCCGGCCCCACCACCCGACCGCTGGCGATCCGCATCCGACGTTTCGCCCAGCCGACTGGACCAGAGACGTGCCCGGAGAGACGTGGCCATGCCGGACATATGTACAAATCAGCGAGAAAGTCCTACCTCGCAGCGCAGCGGCTGCGCAGGTCGAGTAGACGAACGAGTTGGGAGCTTCGCTAGCTCCACCAATCGATGCCTGGGAAGAACATGAAAGCGGAGCTTGCACGCCAGTGGCTGAGACAGACCAACGTTTGTTGCAGGTCCAAGAGGCCTTTTCCTCGGCTCTTGCCTTTGGACCTCAGAGCAGCTGCCAGGGGTGGTGTAGCATCTCCCCAGCCAGGCACCCCAGGAGGTCGAACACTTGGTTTGAACATCAGCATCTTCAAAACGTGATGAGCTTCTCAGGACGATCGGATCTCAACAAACGCACTGAACTGCCATGCGGGCCATGCGGTGCGGTTTGTTTTCCTCTCCCCTAAGTCGCCTCAACAGATCTGTTGAACCTTAGCATCTTCATCCATCTTCCATTAATCGCTGGAAGCTGTGGCAGCTCACGAAATCAGCCACTGGAAGAAAAAGAGCTTCCCACAGCTCCTAACACTCACCTCCCCAACATCAACAGCTCTTCCTTACAGCTCTCCCTGTCCCCAAACAGTTTCTTAACAGTGGCTGCCCCCAACCCCCCTCACAGCAGAGATATACAAAACCCTGCAAAACACTGGAGAAGGTATCGAGTTTCTCCACGTCGGGTGAGGCGGGAGAACTCTTCCACATCTCGTGACGTCGCCCAAAGGATCTGATCTCAAACAGGACATGCTCGTTCGGGCCACCCAGCCACCCCAGCTGCAATAGACTTGCAGGCCCCAAATTTAGGAGTCTAATGTCCAAGGTTGCCTTCCCCGAGAAACGCTCGCTCGACCCAAGGAAGACTGCAAGAAATACCTGTCTGGTTTGCAAATCCTAGGTCTTGAGCAGGTTTGACTCTGACTAAACCTTGTGTAGTGCGCAGTGAATCTGTTCTTGTTTGGTGTACGGAAAAGCATCACCTCTCAGTTCGCACACTCTGCAGATCAGAGCTTGATCCATACAAAAAGTTCGTTTTGGGAAGATTAAAAAAGAAAAGTAATACTAAATCCCTGAACAAATAAATGCCTTGTTCACTGTGCATACTCTCGATGAGTTATATAAATGGATGCTAGCTGCTAGATGATGTAGCTTCAGGGTGGATGGCACAAACCCAAAAAGTACCGTTAAACCAAAGAGAGTTCTGTATAATCATTCTCCATTTGCTGCTGTGTGACTCCCCTCTTCTTTGAGACCACATCATCAACCTCGTCTTTAATTTAAGGGGTCCCTCGACAACTGTTCGCCAAAGCACTGCGGAGCCGGAGCTGCTACGGAAGTCACAGCGGGGATGGTCACGCTGAACTCGCCGCAGCCATTGGCACCGCGCATAAGCCTCACACATCTGCGCTGCTGGGCGCACTGCTGGGGATGATCTGAAAACGTCTCGTGTTTCGAGACCGAGATTCCAGAAAGGTCGGGGCCAGGAATCGGGAATCGAAACCAAGATTGGACGCTACTAGGAGCGAAGGGCATCGCTACTACTAGGAACAAGAAGCTATTAGAAACAAGAATTCAATAGAATTAGAATTCCAATTAATCTAAATTTAATTAGAATTGTTGCAGCTCACAGGTGGTCCTGGATTGTCAGCATAGACATGAAGACCTCTGAAAGTCAAAGAAAAAGAAACAATTCGGCAATTCGGCAATGATCCAAGCCCGCACTAAGATTCTCTTTGCGTCCAACCTTGATTAGATCTGGCCTAAAGGATCTGTTGCTCGCTATAATGCCGCTGTAACTTCGATCAACACTTTGCAAATTTGCGTCTTTCAGGTCTGAAAGGACACAAGGTTGACTACCTGTCGAGTGAAAGGTGGAGGGGATAAAATCTGAGAAATGCAAGTGTTCGAGTCTTTCTTTTGGTCAAGTTCACAGCCCTCCACCACGGAAATTTCATGCCCAGCCGGAGAATTGCCTCTTGAAACGACGACTACGACTACGGCGACGATGATCATGACCACCACCACCACCACCACCACCACCACAGCCACAGCCACAGCCACAGCCCACAGCCACAGCCACAGCCACAACCACAAGCACAACCACGCCAACCAACTCAACCAGCCAACCACAACACCCACGACCAGCCACAACTGCACACAACCACGACCAACAGCAACAACGGTCACGGCACTTCCCAAAAGACTGCTTACTTACAACACAAAAGATCTTGTATTTGCTTACGATCTAAAACAACGACTGAACGGTTTTGCAGCTTCCATTCATCTGACTCCTGAATCTGATCCACCGTACCACGTGCTCCAGGTACCTGAGGCCCCCTGCTCGACCCTTGACCCCGGCACATGCGCCGGGACCACTGGCGGAACTCCCGCCGGCTCCGCGGGGCGCTGCGGACGCTGCGGGCGCAGCGGCTCGCGGTAACGGAGGGACTGGCCTTGCAGGAGGTCCTGGAAGATCCAACTTCTCTCCAGGTTTGCAGAAGATTGGCTCACTGGCTCCAATCAGAAGAGATAAAGAAAACATAAGAAAATTATATATAATCGATACCCACACAATCTTCAATCCGTGCAGTCCTAAGGGGTGTTAGATAAGATTGATCAAGTTCACCTGCACGGCTGTTCTTTTTGCATCGGCTGAGATGCTCCCATCCTTCCATGTCGATCCCTTCGTCCTGTAGCAAGCCCTGCAGTTCAGGATCCTTCGGCGCAAAGCCTCTGGTTTCGGCGAGCCTCGGGAGGGGGCGGTGCGTGTCCTCCGGGCGCTTTTTGTGGAGGCGAGGGAAGGGCGAGAAGGGCTGGGCTCCAAAAAGAAGAGAGCTGGGTTTTGTTCAACGTTGAACCTGAAAATGGACCACTGGAAGAGGATGTTCCTCTACAAACCAATGGTGTAAGTGCCTTGATGTTTCACTTGCCCCTGCTTGGACCCCGAACTCGTGGCGGGGCACAAGTTCGTTCGCCAACACTTGCGAAGGGCATCGCAGGACCCTTCAAGAGGTGCTCAGAAGGCTCACACCTTCACAGGTCCTATCTAGCATGTAGGATTCGAGGGGCCAAGGGTTGTGCATCATCATGTTCAAAGGGTCCTATTGTTAGTTTTGGACTGTTTATGGAAGTCTCATCGGTGTTCTCTCTGTCTGGAAGTGCTATTCGGAGTGATGATTCTCCGGTGTCCGCAAAGGCCCTGCCTGGCAAACAGATCGTCCTACAGGCCTTGGAATCCCCCCAACATCGGGACCATCGGTCGCGACCAATCGGTGGCTGATTCACAGAACATCAACCCGATTGACAGGGACTGCACGGATGCAGTTCCAATGAGCTGCCCTGGTCTCAAAGCCGCTGGCTGGGGCTGGGTACATACGGAAGTCACTTAGGGGATTGGGACAGCACGCTGTGCTTGAGCTGTAGACTCTTGATTAATACAAACCCCCGGCCCGCGCATGAAAAGGCTCCAAATTACGGGGGGTGTTATGAATCAAGAGTCTACGTTACCATGTTGTAAGCACATCCATTGGTCATCCTTCACACAGCTGTCTTGTGGACGCCTGCTATAATCCTGGCGCTCCCCCTCCACTGGTTGGGCGTCCGCAGTTGGGAGATGTGCACCACAAACATCCACAAACCGATAGACCCGTGACTTGCAGAATCTTCAGCAAGGACAAAACCCCCCTATTCTATAGGATTCTGTCCACCACAATTAAAATAAATTGGCTTCGTCCAATAAACCATAATGATCCATAATGAACAAATTGGCTTCGTCCACCTACTTTTGGGTCCAAACAAAAATCGCCTACCGGTCCCCCCACAAAAAAAGGCTGGAAAAGTGTTTGCTTCGGCACTGCTCGGCAAACTCGCACATCACATCCTGGCCGGGTCGCAAACTCTCCTCATTCCGGTGGGGCCAGAAACGTACAGAATGTCCTCTGTGTCCCAGAATGTTCCACGGGGTATGGTGAAGCATGGGGTTCACCCCATGATGGTCTTGCGATGAACGGTACCTAACTTTTGGACCTCACTTGCCTCGGACACTCTCCAGTTTGAGACACCCTCGGACAAAATGGAGATCTGGTCGAACACCTGGTCATGTGGTGGTGGGAAATGGATGAGAACCATAGTGCCAAAGAAGGAAATCCAATCAAGACGAACAAAATGATCTCTCTGATAAGTCATGAGACCCAAAACCCATATCTATCTTGAGAAGTCTTGAGCTAGGGCTAGGGGTGCGGCTGGCTGACCATAGTCCCACCCAAATCTTGTCGCCTTTGTGTGTCCACCCAGGATCCATTTTGGGGTCCCGAACACATAGAAGTATAGGGTATTGAAAGGAATTGAAAGCCATTCATTTGTTCTATCCGATTCTATCCATGTTGAGA